TTGTTGTCATTTTGGGGGATGTTAGCTGCTAGGTAGTTTTGAAGTTCTCTATTGAATTTTTTTAAATCTGATGAAGGTGATCGATAAAATGCTAAAACAACGATTGTATTTCTTTCATCCTGTTTGATCTTTATCTCTAGAATGTTCATGTCACATATTTTGTCAATATGATAATCAAACTGAAATTCACATTTAATATAAGCTACAACTCTATTGTTTTGATTATATGATCCCTTATTCTGCATCCCTATAAAATGATACCTACTCAGGAGCTCATTTTGATAAAAGAACTTATTTTTTGTGAGCAAATGATGGACATGTTGGATAACATTATCATCCAATTAGAAGACGTTATGTTTTCTGATGTCTCTTAACGGTCATGCTAATCGGCAAAATTACCGCTACTGGTCAACGGAAAATCCTCACTAGATGAGAGAAGAACACACGCAATACCCTCAAAAGGTTAATGTTGGGGCAGGGATTGTAGGACACCATATCATTGGTTCCTTTTTCATTGATGGCAACTTGAATGGCGATAATTATTTGGCACCACTTCAAAATGATGTCATTCCGAATTTCGCAAACTTATATCCTGATCCAGGAAACCTCAAGTTCCAATGAATACGATATGGTTTCAGCAGGATGGAGCACCACCACATTACCAAGTTAATGTCCGGCAATACCTCGATACAACATTTCCCAATCGGTGGATAGGGAGGCGAGGATCGATTGAATGGCCAGCGCATTCACCTGATCTGTCATCATTAGATTTCTTTTAATGGGGATATGTAAAGAGCAATATGTACAAAACTAAACCTTCAGATTTGAGTGACTTAAAAGAAAGCTTGCGATTAGGTCGGTCACGCCTAATATGTTAAATAATGTTAGAAGAGAGTTTTATTTGAGATTAGGATGTTGTCAAGACGTTACAGTGAACATTTTGAACATCTACTTCGTTAACATCCATTGTTTTTTTTCGTATTCTACATTTCTAGATTTTGAGTGTATTTTATCGAATTTCGGTAACCACATTATTTTAGTGTCATTGCTTTTCGAGTTTGAAAACCGTGGATTTTTGGAATTTCTTCCTCAGAAGGAAGAAATTCCAAAAAATCCACGGCTTTCAAACTCAAAAAGCAATGACACTGAAAACCTCAGCCGTGAAAGTCTAAACCATTTTGTCACATTATTTCAGTTTATGTTATCTTAATTGTTGCAGTAAACTTGAAAGCGATTACATTAGAAAAGAGAATGAAGACACCTTTCAAACGATATATCACAAATCTACACTTCACTTTAAAAAATTGGTGATTGTACCTGTCATTCGAAGGCGGTTGAAGGTAGGGATGGCATTTTTACGATGAAGAACGTCAAATTATAATTTACATTTGACGTGTTTCGGGATTTTGTTAAAATATGTACCGTAACCGAAATAATGAATTTATTCCATTTGGCTTTTACACACTGTATATAATTTTTTAATTTTTCATCACATCAGTTGACTGTTTTTTTGTTGACTAGGGTTACTTCTGTATCAATATCTTACTGAAAATGATTCAAGCACACGAACTCTGTTGTATCGCAGTTACAAGATATTCAAATTAATGTTGATATTTCGTGGTAATTACTGAACTCGTGCTAGTTAACTGTAAGTTGGGACTTTAATCTGACATTCAACGTTCTGCACATTCACAACAAGTAGATGAAATGAATGGGAAATGAGAAATCCCGAGTGGTTGAAACTCCGAGTAATGTTGATGAGACTCCATGCATTCAATAGATAACATAATAAAACGAATAAAACTCATCCACAAGATGTTATCATATATACAGGGTGCCAAAAAAGTTTCGCTAAGTAAATGGGCTTGTTTCATACAACTGGTTTGCTTATAGACTGATCGAGTTAGAGGTATATTATTCTTATCAAGCCTTATCGATCCCAAGATTTCTTTATATTTTCAGAAAAAAGAACAATTGGAGAAGCAAGAGTTTAAATTGATCGCGTGTCTGTTGACCAATAAAATTGATCATGTCTACAGCGGTGTTGCCAAGTGTATTGACAAGTTTTGGAAGATTCTACAGATTACCAAAGCGAACCTATAACGCTTAAATTTAGTAGCAATATTAGGAAAAGGTATGTATGTAGGATGCATCAATGTGTGCGGGCATGTGCGTGCGTGAGTGAGTGCATAATAGTAACAAATGTTATATCAAATATTGGCAAAATATCAAGTTATTTTACCGGAGCCGACTTTTGGCTAATAAGAGATAGCTTTTTCAATAAAAAATTGCAGTTGAACAGATTGAGGAATAGAATGAATTAAATAAAATTTGATATAAATCTTCTTTCTTATGTAAAAACTTATACACTAACTATAAATTGTTGTAATAAAAACTTTATTCATAACGGTATATTATTAAGTAATGTATAAAATCATACTTTAGGGAAATATTTGGTGATCTTTCGATTTTGTGTACTGATTTTAGATATATGTGGAGAATTTTTTCATGAATTCAAACGTTAACTGGTTCATATACACTTCCATTATTAAAGTTCCTTTGATATCAACATGAAAATGTCTACTGCCGAAAATATTTAGAAAACAACGTTTTTATTGCGTTTTGTGTTATTTGGATCCCATGTTTAATTGATTCTCCCTTCCAATGCATTCCTTGTACTTATGTCTTAAATTTAGTTGTCGAAAGTGACTGTGATTTTACTTTGAATCACGAATGAATCAGAAACTGTTTATAAGCTCCGTGAATTTCACGATTTGGCAATGTTGATTATTTGTATTGCTCCTATTGGTCAATCGAACAAGAAGCGGGACGAGGCCCGTGACATCACGGACCTAGAATATCCGATTTTTAATAATTAATTACGGAAAAACAACGGTATTTAGAGAGCTGAAACAAAGTACAGTGTTTATCATTTCGAAATCACCATCAAATGAACAATAAACCAAAAATCATGAAACAAGCCCATTTTGTAATTGAATACATATTTGTGCTCTTTCTGGACCACTGTCAAAATATTCATATGAAAATAGAATACTAGAATTTGACTATTGCCAATATGAGAATATAAAAGTATCATTACTGTATATTTGTATATTAGTACAGAGTTTTTTTTAAGGGTTAGTTTTGAAAAGCGAAGAAATTTGAAGTCTGAAAATTCAGGAAATATAATTGACAATGATCTATTATTTAGGAAGGCACACTCACCATATTTCTAGCCACACTTTTTGACCTAGGAAAAATCTTACGGATGACACGCAGGCAGTGTTGTCAGATTGTTTTTCTTTCTTATGAACAATATTTCTGAATTGATTCGGAAAGTGGTGTGACCCGCCACGAAGACCAAAATTTGTAGTTCACTTGATATATTTCCAATTACCTAAATTTCTTGAATTTCACTAACATTTATACATATCTAAAATCATATATAAAAGGTCAAACTGGCCATGTATGTAATTTTTTTTGTTGTTGAGAACAACACTAATCATTCCGAAATATTTTGACAGTCAAAAAATGTTTCATAATGGTTATGAGATATAGGGCCAAATTGACATGTTTGCCTGATCCATTAGAAGTTGTGCTCAGTTGAAAGTATCTGAATTCTTTTTTTTTGCGATATAGTGCTTAAGATGTCAAATCACATGCTCATTCAGTTGTCTTGCAGTAAAAACAGTTGACGATTCTCGCTCGACGGTCGATGTTGAAGCTTGTCTTTGAAACAGACCTCCTTGGGAAGCTTCGTTTAACCTCAATATTCGTGGAGGAGTATTTTGTCAATCCCACAGATGGCGTCTTCGTAAGGGGAGATGCAATCGCTTTTACTTTCAGACACGTCCTTTAAAAACAGTTGAATAGTTTACCCAAGCACCACTAATGACACCTTGGTGGGTTGTAACAACGTTGTCTGGTGTTGGAACACGATCTGATCACGAATACATTGTTGGCCTCAACAAAGATCAGCTGGAGTATAAGTAGGCTTACTTATCTCCGATGACTCAAGATGTATAAACCACTGAATAAGCTAGCCGCTCGCACCAGCGAAACGTCAGGAAGAAATTCCAAAAATCCACGCTCTTCAAACACAAAGAATATTTACACTGAAAACCTCGGCCGAAAAAGCCTTAACCATTCTGTAAGGCTTACTTATACTTGGACAAGTCCTTTAATGGCAGTTGCGAGCCCAACTATGCACTCGTCGTTCAGCCTAGTCCACTGATGAGACCTAAGATAGATCGACACAGCACTGCCAGGTCACCAATGTTTTGTTTTTAATCAATATGCTTTTATTAGCTTCACCAAGCTCGGTATCTGTATTTGACAGAATTATCGACATCATTGCTTGATCTATTCGCGGTCAGATGGCGCTATACGTAACCTCCTAGATATAATTCGAACTCACTTTACATGTATTTCTTCATTTCAAAAAAGTATTCTTATTTGTAACCCGCCTTTGCGCCCCTTCAAAGCGTTTGAGCTTTGTGTCATATTTTTGTATATCAAGCGCCCGTCGCTTTTTTCACAATAATACTAGTATTTTTCGTTCGTTATTGTTTTAAGCTTATTTAAAAAATAATTATTTTCAACTTTTCAGTTCGATGTTTTTCAAAAGCGGGTTTTTTAGTTTTTTAAACTATATCAATTCTTCTAGTTGCCTTTCAGTGGATGGCAGAAAACGAATGCAACATACCACTTTTGAGAATTCGTTTATTATCGACGTTTGTAGTTCGAGTTTTTTTTTCGAAATCATGCGGATGCTATCTTTCTAATAAGGGGTGTTCATGCTCACTTATATACGAAGTAAACTGAAAAAAAAATAATATTAGGGAAACCTCAACTACAAATCTTGTTTTTGTGAAAAACTGTAACATTTTTTACCACTATATCTGAAATGCTTATTGACTTAAATTCATAGTGTGAAAATGGTTCAATTATTACCTTGGAGAGTGTTTTAAACTTTTATCAAGTATCGGGTCATCGGTGCATTCATAATTTAAATTTGTTTTATTCAGAAATCGTCTGCCATGGCCTGACATTCAAAAGCATACATACTCTATGTAATAAATTATATCTTAGACCTAGGTAAAAACGTGCGTAAAAATCATAATGTAAAGTCACAGTACAAAATTGTATAAAATGTGCAAAAGTAAACAAATCAACAAAAATTGTTATGAATATCATTCGAATATCATTCACTAAGGTTGTGGCGCTGGGGGCGGAGATGCCGCCAATGGTGGGGTAGTGGCAGAAGCATGTGGCAACAAAGTCTGAGACTGCTGACTCTGTGCAGACATCTGACGTTGAATTTCTGTCCTTCTTGCTATTCTATTCGCTCTCTCTCCTCTGAGTGTTTGGAAAAATGTATAAAATACAAAGGCTCCCAATCCCTGAAAATCAAAAACAGATGAATGAAGGTTATAGCAGTTCAATACAGTTTATCGAATTTGTTTTAATAATTTAAACTTCGAAAAGTGTTGTATCAATGATTCTTAGCACTACTCCAATGGTGAGGATACTTTTTTGTATTATTTACGTCAGCAACAAAATAATATCATCATTAACATCATACAAGTGGAACATATACAAGGTGTTTCCTAACTACGGTACAAAACTTCAGAGAGTGATTCGTTTTAAGAATGTAAGTTCTCATGAACAAATGTCCGGAAATGCTTCGTTACTGAGATACAGGGCGTTGAATTAAAAAAAAAAACGTATTTATAAAATATCGTGAATATCCTTACACCGATCTGGTTGAAATTTGTTACAGATATTTGAAGTAACAGTGCGCTAATTTAACCCTAACTAGATTGAAATTATTAGGCCAATGGAGTCTCAGTGAGCATCACAGCCAACAATATTGGGAAAAAAACTACTCCACTGACTTTTTGTTGTAGTTTTTAAAATTTTCACATTAATCAAATGAAAATACAACTTTTCCGTGGCTTGTGTTTTCTTCATATCTAGCTTCGTTTTCGAGACAACCGTATGGACAGTTCTAAAAAGAAATTTCCCATACTCATATCATATACAGCGGGTCCAAGCTCTATTGCCTCGGAATTTTCACACTAGATTAATGTTTTGCAAGTGGTTGATTCATACGATGGCACACAATAATAATGTTTTACCAAATATTTTATTTACGGACGAAGCAAATTTTTAACACGATGCTATTATGAACTTTCACAATGACCATTTTTGGACCAAAAAAAATCCCCACGTTATTAGAAAAATTCATTTTTAGCAACATTTTTTGCTGAATGTTTGGATAGGAATGATTGATGACTACCAGATCGGCCCATTTTTTCTACCAGCAAGATTAATAGGTGAATCCTACACGAACTTTTTGCGAGATCATTTACCCATTTTCTTAGAAGTGTCGGTACTTGTAAGAGGCAACATTTGGTTTATGCACGACGGGGTTCCAGGTCATTTTAGTTTTCTTGCTCATCAGCATCTCGACATCTCCCACCCTAATCGCTGGATTGGACGTGCAGGACCTCAAAATTGGCCAGCTCGCAGTCCTGATATGAATCCTCTAGATGTCTATTTATGGGGTCAGTGCGTTTGTTTATAAAACTCCTGTTCTAGATATGAATGACTTGAGGAATAAAATAATTGACCATTGTAATGTCATAAGGAATACTCCAGGTATTTTTGAACGTATCAGACAATCAATGACAAATCTATTGCAGTCGTTTGTTTTATCCGAAGATGGACATTTTGCTCATTTACTTCAAGGTCGAAATTGTTCGTTATTTACTATTGGTTTTTATTTTAAATTGTTCATGGATAGTTTTAAGAAGTAATTCTTGATGTAAAAAAATAAAAAACCATAATAAAATCAGTGCCCACTGAGACGCCACTGGACCTAATAATTGCAATCTAGTTCAAGCTAAATGAGCACCTTAATACTTCAATTAACTGCAACAAATTTCAACTGAAACGGTTTGAGGATATATATGATATTTTATAAACGTTTTTTTTAAACTTCAACGCCCTGTATCTCAGAAATGAAGCAACTCTCCGGACATTACGCTCATACGAACTTTTTTTCTTGAAACGACCTAACGAATCACCCTCTGAAGTTTCGAACCGTAGTTAGGAAACATCCTGTATAATATTTATGTCTAGGGTTTCCCCGTATATAATTCACAAGGAGAATAACAAAACGGTGCGGTGCGTCGAAATTATTGCGCTCGGGCAGCGAAATTCAGGTTTATTTAATTTTCAGTTAAGATTTAGTGAATATTACCGTAGTTTTTTCCCAACACCAAATCGTTATTATTTTCAACACCTCGATACGTGTTCCGATCACCAAGTGAATTATTGTGAGCCATCGTATGACGAAACACCTACTTGTTGCGTTTTTGTAAAATCGTTTAGTGAAAATCTCACAATAGTGTTTTTTGAATACATTAGGTATGGATTTTCATCAAGTGTCGGTCAACTCCATCATATAGCTCATTCTTGAAATCGAATATAGGAAAAATTAAGACTTCTGAATACACACACCTGAAACACTGCAGACAAAAATCCTATTACTGCACTTTCAATTAGGATGCCTTCAGCATATTTAATGAGTCTTTTTTGGCACCCATCTTCATGAGGAATTATTTCAGTGGCATTAGATAGTTCATTATTTTTACAGGAAATGAAGGGCAAGGTGCTTGCTTCTGATGTAAATGCAGTATAATCTTTGGGGCCGTGTAGACCACAACACTGTAGCTGAAAATGTTCAAATATTAAAAAAAAAAAGTTGACAGCGGTGGGATTCGAACCCACGCCCTTTCGGACTGGTGCCTAAAACCAGCGCCTTAGACCGCTCGGCCACGCTGCCTGTGAATACAAAAGTTTTTCAACGTTATATATACCTGAGTTTGCAACTTCGCCCAATCTTTATTGTATACTTGATCACGTAGCAAAGTATTAAAAGCTTCAGTCATCAAATCAGTCGATAAAACAGATACTTCGTCCCATAAAATCATTGACCATACTCCTATCGCAAATTCCAAAATGAGTAAGACGAATGTGAATACAATAAACTAAAAAAAAAGTGCTGAAAATAAAAAAAATTAACCTATTTTTCCTAGAGCCTATTTACCATCACTATGTGGAAATTGTGTTCCCGTGGAGGTCCTTTCACTCCCAACCAAGTCATTAAAATGTGGGCGAATCCAAGTAAAATCAGTAATATCAAAGGTCCTATGGTGCTATTAGGTATATAATCAAAATGATAAAATACCCTGTACAGTAAAACCGAAGCAAAGGCAATAAGCATAATTCCAGAAACCTAAAACAAATGTCAATCATGAACAGAACCCGCTGTAGAAACGGGATTTGGACAGCAGCTGATTCTATAGAAATAAGTATAGCATGTAAGCAGAAGTATCCTATTTTCGAGTCAAATTAGTTTATTGAGCCCACTCAAGCTGCGCAAGATGACGTTTCCAGGTTTTCAATCCGACGTTTCATCTTCGAGAAACCATCATCAATTTCAACAGTAAATTTCAAAATGCCATTTAAATCAACTTTAATGGGCAAGATTTTTACTAATTCAACAGACTTCGTATATCTTATGGTTTAAAAGTTTTCATGCTGGCAGCCTTAGCTCGGACACATGTATACAAAAATACTGAAAAGAAATTATTTCTTATTATTTGGTATTGACTTGATAAAAAACACAATTAGTCACGTCACTAGTAATAAAGGCAAAGTCGCATAGTGACAGAATGAAAAAACTCGGCGATCCTTTCGATGTATACAATCAAGGAGTTTGATTCAAGAGTTTCTCCTCGGGTGCGGCAACTTAGACATAGCCGATTTCGGTTGTATTGATATATATGAACAAATTTTTGCAAATAAATACTAGCCAGATTATTTTTATCCAGAGTATTCGTCTATAATAGATTTAAATAGGAAATATTCCCAGTAGAAAAATTATTTTCCAGAATAGAAACAATTACTTTTGGAACCAATCATGTGTATTTCATAATGAAGAGTATCGCTGCGATTGGTGGGATACTTGAAACTTGAATATGAAATAAAAGGTATACTCACGAATAATAATCCTGAATAAGCTAAACAAAGCATTTCCTTGCACTTCAAAGATGCCATTTTTCCTAAGGAAAGAAAAATATATCTCTAAGAACCGTTTAGATAAAATGTGACTATCTTTTCAAGGCACTTCACTTATTTTTCGCGAAAACTAGAAGAGATATGTTTCTCCCTTTTTCATGAAAAAATTTGGACGACTCTGGATTCACAAATTTGGATTTAAATTTCTGGTGTATGTAAACAGATGCAACATGCAAATGTAAACAAACATTACATATCCCACTATTTTGGATTAGTCACTGCGAATACACACAAAGTTAGAAGTATTAAAATTGTTACTAAAAAGATAGAATGAAAATGTAAAATTTCAAATAACTCATTTCTATATAGGTACTGTTAGCACCCAGCAAATCGGCGATGCATTCATTTCATTGAGGTTATTTCAAATTCGTAATGTCTTAAAATAACTTTCACCTTCACTGTGATTCGCTGGTCATATTCGATCCTACAAAAACTCATTTTGTTTGATGAATAACTTATAAAATCGATTCAACACCCTACATTTCTGCAACTCAACATACACTCTAAAATTTCAAAATTATATATCTGGTAGTGTCACCTAGTAATCAGAAGCAACTACATGATTTTGATAGCGCTATCTAGCAATTTCTAATCGAAATTGCATAATGGTAGGAAAGCCACTGTTCTGTCAGTCATTGTCTTAGATTTACCTCAATATTCAGAGGAAGTCATTGTACATTTACGATATCTATAGACATATTGAAACTGAAGTAGAACGGTCGTATTTTTCATTCGTTCATTCATATTTCGGATTTGTAGCTGGGAGTCAATGACATTTAAGTGTCAAATACTTTTGTAAGCAGAGCGATACAATAAACACCAAATAGCAATGCATACGACATACAACTAAATGATATTGAAAATTGAAACTTCATCGTGAACTTAAAGTCCTGATAAGGGCGATGACGTTTCCATTCACGAAGACACTATCTTTATCTATGGGAACGACATAAAACTCAATTTTCAAATATCAAAGTTAAACGAGTTTCTCCCACGGCGGCTGGTTGCGAAGCCAAGCTTCGACCGTCGACGAGATTCGTACTGCGTTTTCCACTGCAGATTTCACTGCAAGGCAACAAGTTGAAAATTATAGCCGAAGCATTGTCTAAAATTAGACAATGGCCGAAATATATTGTATTTATGGTTCAACACCAGATAGCGCTGTTTCGATCCGACATAAATTTTGTCAGAGTTACTAGGAGAAGCCACAAATGCATTGCTGAAGTCAACTGACATTGAAAAACGAGTCTGAGTAAATGAGGGCGACAACATCTTACCCTACAAAGACGCTACCTAAGGGATCGGCCAAAAACTCAGTCCTTGAATATCAAAGATGAATGAAGCTTCCCAAGGCGGTCAATTGCAAGTCCGAACTTCAATATCGATTGGCTCGAAACAGTGCTGTCTGATATTGAATCATAAATGCGTTGTGTTTGGGCTGCAAATTTCAACTTGTTGCCTTGCAGTGAAAGACAGAGAGGACGAATCTCATCGGCAGTCAATTTTGAGGCTTGGCTTTGCAACTGACCACCTTGGGAGAATTTAATTTATTTTTAATATTCGATGATTAAGTCCTCTCTCGATTCCATATATGGCGTCTTCGTATCATTACCCTCATTTACTCAAGCTTGTTTTTTAATGACAGTCCAGTAATGCATTTGTGGTTCAGCCTAGCACTACTGCCGTTACCTATGGCGAGTCGAAACATTGCTGTCTTATTTTGAATAATAAATGCGTTGTGTTTGGGTCGAAAACGGCACGCAATACATCAAAATTACACATAAATCGGAGACCCTGCTTATGAATTCTGAATTATGACAGTCATATCATCAAATGTGTCACTAGTGTCATGTGTCCCTCGTAGAATATAGAACAGAACTCACAATTCATTGGCATCTCATTCTGTCAAATTATACAACAAAACACCAACAAGATTGTTTCAATTTTTAATTCGAAAAATAAATAATTCTTGAAATTCTGGGAAAAAATCCGCACAAAATGCTATTATTCACTTTTACTTCAAATCGATGAAACTACT